GCAAGAGCGATAGGATATATATGAGGGGATAAAGGAGATGCTCACAAAAAGAAAGATTAATCGAAGCAAGTAGTCTCAGTCACCACGGATGGTGCACCTGCCATGGTTGGTAGAGAGAAGGGGGCTGTGGCACGGATGAAACAAGACAACCCTGATCTCATTAGCCTACCACTGTATCAATCCATCAGACTGTTCTCTGTGCCATTCTGTTGAAGAGTTTGCTGAAGTAATGAATACCATGATGAGACCTATCAACTTCCTCAGGGCATCCTCTATCCTATCAGCAGCGACTGCTGAGAGAATTTCTGAAAAAATGGAGGCAGATGCAAATGACCTACTACTCCACAACAACATGAGATGGCTAAGCAAAGGGAATGCACTGGATACTTCTGTCCATCCAAAAGGAAATAGCTGCTTTCTTACAGCAGCTCAAGGACAAAAACGCCAACACAGTTTGCAAACTTTTTGCAAGATGACACAACAGAGATGGATGTGGTGGCTTTTTTGGTGCACCTTAATAAGCTCAATTTAAAGCCTGCAGGGTCAGAAAAATTCTGTCTGTGATATGATGAAAACTGTCACTCCTTCCAGATGAAGCTGGACATTTTCAAAGAAGATCTCCAAGAGAGAGTGTGAGCACTTCCCACAAATGCAGGAACAAAATTCAGGGTAAGAGAGACATTTCCCTTATGTCAGCTTCATAGACAAGCTGATTGGAAACTTCTGTCATCGATTTGACAGCTTCAAACCTTGGACACCACTCCTCCTGCTAATCAAGAATCCATTCCTTATCAAGAGAAATCAGAGGATTTTCAAAGGAGGTGACACAGACCTTCAAGTGGGCACATCCTGGATCTTTACAGCTTAGAGCTCACTGATCTGCAAGCAGATGTTGCTCTGAAGAGCATTTTGAAACAACTGACTCTGCTACTTTCTGGTTTACAGATGTGCCTGAAACCATTTTCCCTGTCTAACCAAAGTAGCACTACACACCTTAACCATGTTTGGATCAACTTACAGCTGTGAGACAGCTTTCTCTACGAATGAACATTATTAAAACAAAGTACTGTTCCAGGCTTACCAATGAGCATCTCCACATGAGCATGAGAATGGCACTAACCCTATTTAAGCCAAGATTCAAACTGCTGGGCAGGAAAGTTACATGCCCATTTCTCTCACTAGGAAAGGAAGTTGGAAAGGAGGAAGGAGAGGAGAGAGGAGAAAGGGAGCTGCTCAAAGCTCTGCACTTTTCTTTTATTCAGTAAATTCTGCCCTGTTTCTATTTTATTGAAATGTAAGGCATTATGGTTCCTGTGTTATTTTATTTTAAATGTAGTTAAATACATGTTTAAAAAAGGGGTGGGCAGCTCAAAAGTCTTTTCTTTACATTTTTTCTTAAGATGCACTTTTTATTTATTCAAAAGATTCTGAATTGTTTTTACATTACCCTAAGTTCAGGCTGCTCAAAGCTGTGTTGCACTTTTTATTTATTTTATTCAGAAGAAATTCATTACTTGAAGTGTAGTAACAAGACACTACAGTAATGTTTTCATTCAAGTGCCATACAAAGTTCAGACTTATCGGTATGTTTAAAGTATATTGAAAACACTTGAAATTTGACAATAAATGATATCATAAAAGTACATATGTTGTTTTTATTATTTATCATTAAACATTTCGAGTGACAATATAAGATTCGGACCTTTTGCTGGAGGACATTTTTTGTAACTGGACCTTTTTGAATTTTAATTGAATACCCCGATGTAGGGGATATGAGGAAGAAAGAAAGGCTCTAAGAGAAGCATTAAAGAAGGCTAAGCTAACATTCAATGTTAGGAACCGTCTACTTAGAGAAACATCAAGGAGAATGTTTATTCATCTAATCACATATCTCAAAAACACAGGGTTAGATATTGGGTTTTTTTGTTTTTTTTTAAATTATTTCCCTGCCAATCTAATGCTCACACTCCAGTCCGGTAGGTTGCGGTAGATGATCGGAAGCCAACCGCCAATAAAATCAAAAGATAGAAGAACATTGAAGAAGAAGAAGAAGAATCGCATGAATCGCATGAATAAAGACCTTGTCGCCCTGTTATACACGTCTGTCTCCGTTGTTCCAGAAACAGTCGAAGCTTGCTGCTGTGTCTCATATAGCACTCGTCCAATTGTCTTCCTGTCAGTCTTCAGGACACAGCCCATATCTTCTTCCTAAGGCCGAGTGTCGATCGCCGGCTGCGACCATGTCGACCGCCGAGGACTTCCACTCTCAGGTCGCCTCCATCATGGGGTGCTGGCTAACGCGGCTGTAGCAGAGATCTGTAAAGTTGTTGATAACGGATACTCGGTGGTTTTTTCATCTGGGAAATGTCCCGGAGTCAGAAGGAAACGATTCTGCGGAGGGATAATAACAAACTGCTTGAACTGCAGTCGCCCGGTTACCGAGCTTGAGAGAGTGAAGGGAGCGGAGGGCTCCGTGAGCAGCCGCTTCCCCGAGTTTGCCTCCTCAACCGGCAGAACAAGGACTCACTGGCCGGTATGTCCCCGACACCACTAACGTTATAGGCCCAATCCCGGTCTTCCCCCAATCCCCAACTCTGAATCCTGAAAGACTTACATTGATATCACCTGGTGAGTGATTTTTGAGCCCTTTCAGCTCTCTTGCACTCAAAGGCCTCAAAATGTATAAAGAGGAATGGAACAGCATTTTAGATCACCCTGATGATGCCAAAGACATTTGCATTCAATTGCTGGTTTGGTACTTTTGATTGTACATTTTTATTCCCTCCCTTCGTTCCCGTTTTGTAAACAGAAAAAAATAATGCTGGATCAGATCATGATCCACTTTGGATATTTGAAATTCATCCATCATGTCATCATATGACAAATAACTCCACAAGTCAGTCTCTGAATCGCAATGAGCTCTGGTTTTTATACTGTCTTATACTGTCTGTTTTTCTTTTAAATGCTAAGGTTAGTTCCTTTTCATGCTTGTTGTTAACCGGTCATCCATCTCTATTTATGGCCGTTCGTTTTGCAGTTTTTGGCACTTTCTGGCATCCCTTCGATCAACCATGGCAACTCCGCTGTTTAATGTCACAGCACTATGAACTTCAGGTAATTTCCGCAGGCAAAGCCAATTTTTCTCCTTCGTATGAAACGCCTTGTTGGGGTCCAGACATTACTTCCTGAATCCTATTGATGTCAATACTTCTCTTGGTGCTACCCACTGCAAGCTTGACACCCCCACAACAAGGCACAGCACATAACTACTTATGGTGAAGAGTTTTTATTGGTTTTTGTAGCCATGCCGAAAAGACAGTGCTCTTAATTTCCTGCAAAAATCTACTTCATTTTCCACTATTCTCCATTGCTCTAAACATTATAGTGTGAGCCCGCACTTCAAAAGAGGACTGCTCAGAAACCACGCACACAGTTAGACCGTTTCATTTTCACAATGGTTATTTCTGTACTTCACACTTGATGTGGCCGAACAGGGAACTCCTCACAGCCTGTCGGTCTGCATTGTATTTTCAGTAACTATGCCCACTAACGTTAATATTCATTTCAGATTTCCGGCAGCAGGGGGGTGGCGGTTCGGTGAACCGTGAACGACTGCCTGTACTGTTCCTCCATTTATTTATATTCATTTAGTCTGGAAGTGTCCATACATTAAAAAAAAATCAAAAGGGTATCTTATAATATAAAATA